TGTTGGTCGGTCTCGTCGAGAACTGAATGATCCCCATTGGAATGGGCTGTTTTCTTGACAGATCTGGTGTTCAAAGCCAGATCAGATGTGGATGCAGAAGAGTTGTTACGATCTTTCCCGGTTGAGTGGGTGAGTTTCCGTGATGTCGAGGCGGGTGCCTCACCTTGATTCACCGCAGGCTTGTTTCTAGTGGCCCCTTTCGTACTGCGCGTTTGAAGAGAGTGATCTGTGAAAACGGAAAAGGATAACTGGAGAATGACAATGGCATCATTGTCGAGACATTCCGGAACTATAAACCAGTAAAGCAAATTTAGGAAGAAGTGGGAAATAACGAGCAAGAAACATGTTGATAAACAAACTGATTAGTATTGGTAATAGAAGATGGTGAACTTAATTTTGATCGATTTAATCATTTTCAGTGCAAAACTAGGAGTAGAAAGATGCAATTAGGACTATTGGATTCTTTAACAAAAAAATGAGTTGAAATGGGTTGAATCACAGTTTTCGTTTAGTTCTATTGAAACAATAGGAAAATTTGACGAGGTATGTGAGAAGTGGAACTTTGAGAATGACCGATGGGGGCAGAAAGTGAATTTATTTGTGGAACAAAGGAAACAACTGGAAACAAACAAAACCATATTCGAGCAGAGTGACTCCACCAAACATGAAGACAGAACTAATGACAGAACCCAATCGAACCACTCATTTGACGATTGAAAAGTTGGTCGGTTAATTGATTCCATTTACAGAAAAACACCAAAACTCCTTAAAAATTACAGTAATTTATTGATATCATACACCAGACAGCCCCAGGTAAAATATTAGGCAAGGCTTTGTTCGAGTCTCAAGAAATGCATTTCTCAAATCAACTGCCGTCCTAATGACCTGCGTTCACAACCTCTGAAGGGAAAATTCTACTCACTACCTTTTGTACTGAGTACGCTAACTGCAACGAGAGCTAAAAGCCGGAGTGACGAGCCATCGGCAGAGAGTTCGTCGAAGAGGAATCGGTATGCACTGACTTCCGGCGAAAACAGTACGAACTGGTTGCAGGAAAATTTGGTCGTGATGGTCGCCCGCCTGAATGGACGAATGAGTGTCTGGAAGTAATTTGATGTTAGAGCCTCATCCGATGGTATATGATCCAACCGACTACCGAAAGGATCGTGAACTTGAATTGAAGACACACGACCTCAGGGTTTAGAACATTCTGTTGAAATCTCAAAGTGAAGTTTCACAAGTCATCGTTTAATTTCGGTTTGAGTAACCAAGTAATTCAATCAACTAAAAAGCATCGACAGAACAAAGACAAACAGTCGCGCAAATGTTTTCTCCATTTTGAGTAGTGCTAAAATCCGGCTCGCTTTGAGCCGATGATCAAGCAACAACAAGAATATAAAGTAGCATGGTGGCAGATTCGTTTAAATAACCAAAAAGATTTTTACTTCACCTTTGGTTATAATAAACTTGTGAAAGTGAACTACTCAAACACCTATAGTCAAGCAGGTAAAGTTGTTATCGCCGATTGGTTTTGGACTCGGTAGTTCAAACTCCAATACCACCATCCAACTTCGGTGGTAGGCAGCCAATCCTATGAAGCTTCGCGCATCCATGTAGTTTACTGATTCTGCGGGGTAATTAAGAATAAGAAACTATCCGTGCAGATACGTAGGTGATAACGCCAATGATTAAAAAATACTGCAGTACACAGGATAAGTGAAGTAAATATGAAATAACGGTAAGCGATGCATTTTAAAAGTCATATATATATATCTTTGTTTATATATATGAATGCATACATTCATACAAACATAAATATATGAACAACTGTTAAACTATCTATCAATGGATGAGAAGAAACATATTCCAATGGGGGTGGGAAACTGACCGTGAGGAAAGCTTGTGATCGAAGGGCTGCTCTCCGACAATAGATCCCAGTTAACCTGTGTTTTGTCTAATCCATGTACTTTTGTCATATGGCGCCGACAAGCGTATCGACTGACAAATCGTGCATCGCAAATATAACATCTGTGCCAATTTTAGGAGTAAACAAAAGAGGAAGAGTGAGTCCGAACTGATGAGCAAAAACTTCAACGGTGATAGTTTTACAGAATGTAACACTGCAAAAAATGAGACTGATTTCAATTCAAAATACAGTTCAATAACCATCAATGTCAAAGGTCGAAACACTGACTATGTGAGTGTGACTTGATCATGTGAACTCACGATTCATCCACGATTTATCATTACGATTATCCCTATTTCCCCGCTCAATTTTACTGTGAGCCATTTATTTGTTCCGCATTTGGCTAGCTTTGTAACACAGAAAGAGGTTGTTTTTCAATTTGTCTTCTAACGCAATTGAAAATATATGAAAGGCTAAGTTTCAATCTGGGAACAAACAAAACGCAGATGACGCGAGCGGGATGCAATACTCACCGGTAAACTTTGGTCTGACGTCGGGCGAGCACAATCCGGTTAGGGTTAGACAGTTCGAGCCCATTCCAATCCATGTGCGGATTGCGATGAGTCAGCTGATGGCCATCCCACGTATCTACTGTTTGTGGCTCACCGCAGAGCACACAAATCCTGGCAACGGAAATCAAATAAGTGTGGTGTGTAGTCGATAAATGGACCAGGTTCACTTAACAACGGCCGCGTTCAAACTGTATAAAGAACTGATCAAGTAAACATAAACAAAGAAAGCTACAATAATGGTGTACACAGGGAATTAATCTGTTGTAGAAGGAATGCGATTCCGGGGCATTAGGTACGGTTAGATCATGAGAAAGATTGGGTTGCTCGGTTTTTCAATGAAGATGGATCATACTGCAACGAGTTTATTGATCACGCTAGACCGCAAGAAATGCAGTTTGGTCATTACGTGTCTTCTTATGTTAAAATATACGTTGTGGTTCAACTATTCAAACTAAACAAAGACAATAGTTGGCAGCAAACACGACAAAAAATATAATCTCGTTCACCGAGCTTGAATCATTATATATATATATATATATAATGATTCAATTAATTGATTAGCTGGTGATTGTTGAACATTTTAAGATGAGAGCGATTGGTATATTTGGAAGAAAAAGTAAGTCGAACATTAGGTTAACTGACCGGAAGGCAGACAATCCTTCATCCAGTTGCCGTAAATCACTGGCTTCAGAAAAATGTGAAGAGTTAGGAGAAACATCATTTCGTTCAGTAGACAGACGTCGTCGTTTGGCTAGCGATATAGGTGGTTTTAGTGATGAAACATTCGATCTACCATTACGTGAAGATACGGTCGTCACGTCTGCTGAGTGTACTTTTTCCACGAGGTGATTCGAAGAGGTTTTATCCTGATCTTCGTCCAGATAGTCTACATGCAACGGTGAAGTGCGAGCAGGAGTGGTACCCGAGGTCGAGCAGGACATCGGACGTTCAGGGTTCAGAACATCGCGGCCGAAATCGGTAGACTGCGGAGAGTCCGGTTTGTCTAGCGGAGAAAGCGAGGTTTCTGGTGAACTTGCGATCAAGATGGGAGATGCACGACGGGACTTTGAAGTCTCATCTGTCAAATGAGAGAAGAGAAGGAAATCAGTAGACACTTACTGAATGTAACTTGTGAATTGAATGACTGTTATCAGAAGGCACGCTGTGGAGTTTCCATACAATGGTAAGAAAGCAAACTATATTGCCAAAACCCTCTATCCGTTAAAAAAACAAGGGTATTAGTAACTAGATCAATTTCTTTTTCGAGTGCCACCATACTTACCAATCCGAGCGAATGCAAACTAAGTATGCAAATCTCGCTAAACTTGCGACATATTAAAATAAACTCTGTACACATTCTCTAGACAGCCTTTTACAGAATTATTTAAGAATATATATATATATCAAAGGTCAAGTATTTTACAAAGCATTGTGAACAAACTTTGTTTCAAGGCATCCCCAAGGAAAATTGAACGAGGTAAGCAGATAAAATATTTGGGAACTAAGGGAGAACAGTTTGCATAATAAAAAGGAGGTTTAATGTGTGTTGTTGTTGATTTCGTTATCATGCCTAGGAACCACTTCATTAAAAACTGCTCCGTTAAACAAATTCACTCAGCATTTGGGAAATTTACAACCGGATTGTTCTTATAGGACCAATCTAGTAG